AAGAAAACGATAGAAGCAATTCAGGAATGGGTCAACATAGAAAAGAAGAAAGAAGCGGAGAGTGAAGATGAAAAAGATGATAAAAACAACGATGATATAAAATACTAATTGATAATAAATAGCAGTAAGTAATAACGTAAGTTGAATTTTTGTTAGAGTCTAAAGAATAGGTAATACTTACAAATGGCTTTATGCCCGAGTATTTTTCTCCTATGCAAGCACTCTTTAACTTATATTTTATAAATTATTTATGTATTTTTCTATTATTAGTTAAATTAAAATAAAAATAATTTTCTTTTGTCGTTTAATTCGTAAAATAATTTCCAAGTCATGTGCCCACTATTTTATCATTGGATGTATTTATATTAATTCATCTATAACATTATCTGGAATCTTTCTATGAGACTTGTATTTTTTTACAAATTATTCAGCCTGGAATACTGTTAAACCTTTCGAAATTATGCATAGAAACAATTAATTAATTGGTAACAAAAATTTTTAAAAATTAATATCTTTTTTTTTTAAAAAAAATGGAAGCATTCGAAGAAATCAAGAACCAATTAAATATTGCATTTGGAGAATATGAAAAGGCGAAAGAGAGATTGGAGAAGTGGGAAGATGAGAATGTAGACAGGTTGAACGAGTTGAAAAGGAAATTGAGGAAAAAAGAGTATGAGGATAACGAAGAAAAAAAAGAGTTGATGGAAGAAAAGAAAGAATTGATTGAGGAAAAGAAGTCGTTGGAGGAGTCGAAGAAAAGGAAAGAAGAGAGGAGAGATAGTTGGGACGATTTATATAGAAAAGAATTAAGTAAAAGAAAAGGTAATGATCAAATTGCATTAAAAAAATTTTGTTTTTTGTTCATTCCATTTCATTTGTTTTATTTATTCATTCATTGATCCATTCACCTTGTTCTCTATAAAATTTATGCATTATGTTTTTTCTATAAAACTAGAGAAGGAAGGTATACCATTCTTCTATATACCATTTTTACTTTTCTTTACACTATGTAATAGATCTGGAAATTGACTCCCACTTTTCTTGTTATGTATTATTTGATTTGCAACATATTTAGTTATAGACTGGAGGGACAATAGATCAATTCTTGAATTCATAAGAAAATATCAACGACCTGATGGCACCTCACCAGATAAAGTATGTTCATCATTTTGTACATTTAAATTTTTTTGTCTGATCTAATATTTTCTATTGTAGCTTGTCAACCCTTTTGGTGGTTCTTTTCCTCTCTGCAACCGAGAAATTACCTTCAATACTTTATGGAATGGCACTTCAGGAAGAAATGGTATCCTTTCGCGTTTTCATAGCAACACATCAGATCGAACCTCATATCCACTTCCCTTTCTGGCTTGTGGACCAGGAACTGGAAAAAACAGATTCCTTGAAGAAGTGGCAAGATTGTTGGCAGCAAGAGCCAGTGAATCTGACAATGAAAGTGTTAAGATGGCCTTCTCCAATATAGTTGTGGTAAATACTACATTTGGAAATGGAACTTCTGCAAGCAAATTTGATGTGGAAATTGGAGGGGAAGCAGCATTAGCTGTTCGACTCATTTATCAACATTTCATCAGTTGTAACAATCCGAAGATTAGTTTTGCAGACTTTATAATGAATGGAAATGTTAGCCTCCTCTGCTTAACTACTGCAATAAATATTGTGCTTTCAGAAATGACATCAAACATTCATGTATTTGTTCTTGGTATTGATGAAATAAATTCACTTTACTCAATTGATCAACAAACTCTCTTTGTCAAGTAGTACATGTGATTGGTGGACTAACTTGCGTGTGTGGGAAAATATTTTTCATACCAATTCTATCTGGAACTATCCAAGGTCCTATGGAGGAGCTTGTACAAGAATCAACCTATCTGCTTTTACAACTCCCACTACCTCTCCTTCCTGA